GAAGCCCCAGAATGGTGGAAAGAAATAACTGTTTTCTCATTTCACAACTTTGCATGGAATTGGGGCTCAGTTTCTCACTCGATCCTCCATAGGGTGCCCCAACCCACATCTGGTGTATATAATAAAAAAGTAGCAATATGCAAAATGAGGGGCTCCTTTAATGCCCGTGGAGCTGTGGGAACAGGCAGAGTCCAGTCCTATAGCCCCAACCGTAGCTGTCATAAAATAATTCTCACACGTTAACTCATCCCTCCCGTGGCACAGTTTAACAGCTATTGCTTGAAGGTCTGCGAATTCCTACAGACACATGTCTGATTAGCTCACTCCCCTGTCTGAGATACACCCATCTACTCAAATCCTCTCTCCTTCAAGACCCCACACTGCCAGGAGACCCCCAAGCACACAGAGCCCTTGCTCTAGAATGAGCTCTCTCAGAGCAGCTCTCTGAACTGCCCACTTGGTCCTTATTACATCTTGCCTCACACAGGCAGGTGTACTGTATTGTTTTTATTTTTTTTTTAAGGCAGGTATGGCGGTAATACCACATACTATTTATCCCTATGCCCTGTCAACCTAACAAATAACTGAGGGAGCAAAAATAAAACTCAAACAAATTACTTTTTGAAAGAACACAAAAGAACGTGTTCTCTTCAATTCCTTGTCCAAAAAATAAATAAAGTACCCTTCTGAAGATATCAAGGAAGGTAGATTTTTAAAATTTTTCATTTTGATTGTAGAAATAATCTCTTGGGTCCAAAACAAAGATTTCAAATTTCTATTTTGCTCCATGAGGAACAAGTTAAATTTGTGTGTTTTTATTTTCAATTTGCCATCAAACATTATTTTTTAAAAAGATGAATACAATTCTTTACCAGAAAGCATTTAAAAGATCTATTATGGGAATGATCACCTGTGGTGAGGTTCTAGAACTGACCAAATCTGTGCAGCAAATCCAGGTCAGCCAGGATGTTCATGACAAGGCACTTAGTCACTCTCCCAGATGGGGACTCCTTGCTCCCAAAGATAAGATGTTTTTAACAGATGCTAATATCCTTCACATGCGCCTACTATCAAGATGAGGCTTTCCACACTGAAATACTGTCTTCTTTCTCTTAGGAGGGAAGAAGGGTATAATTTATTGCCCTCTGAGTAGGAAATTGAGGTGGCTGAAATGCTTTACGTAGTTTCTTTATCTAGGACTATAAATCACTGGAAATGAAACAATAGAGGAAATCATTAGAAATGAACATCGATAATAACAGGATATATTATCACATTCACACTTTCCAGACTGGCTAATGGTGCAGAGTATGCATTATCAAATAACACCCATGTGGTGTCTTTCAGTTTTAGAAATAAAGTTGTATAAAGTAAAATAACACTGGCTTGTATCTTATTTTTATTTTCATCCTTGTAGTATGAGAACTCCTCTTATTAACTGCTATAAGTTAATCCTCTGCAATAACTAAAAAGAGAACGATCACAGTGAAAAAGTATTATTAAATTGGGAAGAAAAAAGAGACATAAGAAACACAAAATCTTGGGAAATTCAGATAGAGAATGAATGAATGAATAAAGAAACAAACAAACAAAGGCATTAGGAGACTAAATAAACTCACAAAAGTATAGCCAGATGCAAGCTTAAATTAAGGTTTAAAAAGTTCATTTTGGAAACAATTGAAAATGAAGACAAATCAACAGACCCCAATGAATCTTAGTTAGCTCTTAAAACTATGATACCGTAATTTTTAGAATGAAATGCTGGATATACATCCTTGAAAAATTGGGATCACAGGCAGTTAAATGCTTTGTTTGAAGTCAAAACAATCTGGTCATTTGTACTTCATCCATTAATGCTGTTACCTTCCTGCCCTATTATGTCATTGGAACTCTCATGCATCAGCCAATCAATGAACTTTTTGACATTATTTATTTTATGGTAGAGCTGCCTATGATCTAAAAGTTCCATTTTTGCAGGCTTACCATCTCTGTCATTACCCTGTGATTTTTTTGTTTATTTGTTCAAATGTTATTGTACATTATTATAAAAAATGAGTGGGAAATGGGAAAAATTTTAAACTAAAAAATTTATAGTAATTACAAGAAGTGTTGTCTCATAAACTTAATATAAATTAGACAAGGATAGAAGTTATTAGTCATGCCAAAAATGGCAAATCTCTAGTCAGAATCGGACACTTATTGAATTTGAACAGGTCAAGTGTTGTTAAGTAAGGAAATAACCAAAATTATAATAAGTTTAAAGAAAGAAAAATTAAGGAAAGGAGTAAAACTGAATGCTTATCTAAATGGCAAGATATAATTAGAAATTTTATAATATACTTGGCCATCTAGGGCCAGCATTCCTTATAACATGTAGGCTTTTACACAATCAATCTTTGGACCAATTTTTAGAAACGCATTCTGTACTAAAGTAGGAAAAACAGCATTGAACAAGATACCATGTTTTCCATCAAATACAAAAACAAATAGAAAGGTATTTATAAACTGAAAAGCGCAGGGTGAAAGTTGTTTATTTTTACTGGCATTGTCGTTTCCATTTCGGTTCCCTGACACTGTCATTCACAACCCAAACCACCCTAATTATATGAGAAACTCAGGTCTTGTGTCCTAGTGCTGCCATAGTGTTGAATGCATAACATTAATTCGGTGGCATCTGGTGTTTCATAAGTCTTCTTGGGATATTCTATCTTGTTCTTTTTCCACTCTAGATTACTGATGTTGTAGGCCACGTCTAGCCAAATTGTAAATTCTTGACTGTCTTCTCCACAGCCCATAGCCCGTACATGGTGACTGCCCCAAGCACTTGGCATGCTAAGACAATGTTAAAGAGCGTCCGTTCATTCTTTCTTCCCTTACTTTTTTGGACATTTATCTTGTACCTACTATGTGCCAGTCACTTGGAAAAAGCCTTTGAATAATAAATGATAATCTCACCAATCAGTTGGAGGAATCCCCAGATAACAAACACAGTTGATTCAATGTGATGGAGAACATTAAAACTACCTGCAAAGTAGAATAGGAATTACAGGAGATATCACCAAGTTTATGCGAGAGAATTAGGAAAGGTCCTGAAGGATAAATAGGTAGTAAATATTTGATTAGACTGAAAAAAAGGAGCAAAGACATTTCTGGCACAGGGAACAGCATACACAGCTAGGTCAGGGAGGAGCAAAAAGCAGACAACATATTCTCTAAGGAACAGATCAGTGGGGCTTAGATGCTTGGGGAACAGGGAAGCAGAGAAACAACCCAGAGAAGACTGTGCAGACCTGGCGTGTGTATCATGTTAGAGAGGTTAGGCTGTGTGCTATGAGCAAGTGTTTCTCCAACTGGGATTTGAGTCACCGCCACTAAATTCACTAGGGGATCTGAGAGGATCTGCTAAGTACAGATTTGTGGCCCTTGTATCCGGGATACAGCTCTGGAATCCGCATTTCCACTAAGCACCTGGGTGACTCTGAGGCTCACCTTCCAGGGAGCTGCCACAGATTCTAAACAAGGGAATGATGTGATCATATTTGTATTTTAGAAATATACCATTAGACCAAGGAGACAATCATGAGAAAGGTGTATCCATCGCTGCCTGTGACTTGGGTTTCTATTACAATCATCCGGGGAACTTGTGTAAAACTGCAGACTTCACACTTTGCCCAAGACTTACTGCATCTGAGTCAAAGCAGAGGGGGCTAGGATTTGTATTAGGTTGAATGATATGAAATTGCCATTTTATATAGGTCAAAATGGTCAAATTTTGGCAATTTCTCACAATTCAATCCAATATTTTTAACAAGCCCCCTCCTTGCTTCTGATATACATCAAAGTCTGAGACTGGCTGATGAAATACAAGCTGAATGAAATACTTTTCCTTTTGTTATTAATTATTAGTATCACCACTCACTTTGATTGACATGCAAAAATGGAAGTGACATATTTATGTACCCAAAACAAATGTTTTTTAAAAATGAGGTTTAATAACAACCACCAAGGAAGCAAGTCTGCTAATTCAAAGATTTTAGAGCAAGAAGGAACACTAGATTATTCAGCTTTTTCCTCATCTCCCCACACAAGTTTACATCTGATGGAGTTAATGGGAGACTGAATATTTTTGTCACTTCCTCAACAATACATACTTTTTATTTTAACAGGTAATGAAAGAAATGTAGCTCAAAAGCATTTGGGATTTAATTTACAGGTGCTAGTATTACACGAAGCCCTAAAATACCTGAAATGGGGTGTGTGGGGAGCTAAAGTAAATGCCCATGCATAGCCACCTTTAAAATAAAGCCAATGAACTTAAATAACATAGAGCCTAGAGCGGTGCTGGAAAGGTACTAAGTGCTTAATAAGTAATTATTGAATAAAAAATAGGTTAAAGGAGATACATCAATGTAAGGAGTTCTAAGGCAGTGTGTTTATGCATGGTTAATTAAGTGTAGATTTTCCACCTGCTAGCCTGACCCCATAACCCTGTGGTCCCCAATCATGACCCCTCCTCTCCAAATCCCAGCCCTGCCACATGCACTTTCTTTCCTCTGTAGGAACCCCAACAGAAAGTAATGCGAAGACCATGTCTGAGCTAAGTTTGACAATACATTATGCCCTGGGTGGGAGTAAAGCCCACAGGAGTGTGGCCTTCAAAGGCCATCCAAAGAGAAATAATAGCTAACACTTACTGATGGCTAATAAAGGCTATAGTATCCTAATACAGAAATAGTTATCAATATTAGCTTGAAAATAATAACAGTTAATACTTGCTTTTTATGAGTATCTGCCAAGATTGTTAGCACACCTTGTGCATTAAATCATTTAATCCTTTTAACAACCCTCTGGTGTAAGCACTGTTATTATCATTCTGATTTTATAGATGAGAATAGAGAGGCTAAGTAACACCCAAAATCATACACCTGGAAAGTGGAGAGTTGAGAGATGACTCCAGGCTACCTAGTTCCGAGTCCAGCGTCCCGAGTCCCAGAACTTACCATCTACTCAACTCTCTGACCTCAGAGCAGCAAAGCAAAAAGGACCCTGCAAGCTGACCTCTTGCAGCCATCACGTCAGGAAGATGGCATTTCTGGTGACTGTGACCTGGTTCCAGTCTTTTCATCCACAAGGAATGAAGTCCCTTTAGTTGAGGTGACCCTACACAAAGTGAGGCCCAGGATACAAAGGAGAAAGGCAATGAGAACCAAGAAGGAATGTCATTCTCCTCTGTCTTGGGAACAGCATGGATAGCACTACCTAAGGACTTTTGGACTAATCAAATCTCTCACCTCAACTTTCCACTAAAGAATGTGCGTCCTTGTGTAAGAATATTTTCTAAAGAAGCATCAAAGATATGATTATACTTCACTTGCTCAGTGGGATCATTCTTACTTCCAGAAAGGAAAAAAAAAAAAAAGGACAAAATATTTCCCTAAACCAGGGGTAAAAGTCTTAGATCAAAGGAATATAAAAGACCAACATAAGATGGACCTTTCTATGGCAACTGTGCTTGAAAAATCTCCTCCCACCCCAACATCCCTTAAGGAGCCAGGCATGCATACTAGGAAGAGACCCCTCTGGTCTAAGTCACCCCGCCTCTGATCCCGACACCCCTGCAGGATGCTGAGAACGCAAGAAGAGGGACTGTCGTCTATCTGCACTGTCTGAATATCAAGTACTGGAGGGGGAAAAAAAAAGTTTAGAAAACTAGTCAAGATCCCAGAGAAGTAAAGCTGATCTCAAAGGAAGGTCCCTGCTGAAACTAATTTCCATTCCCGGTCTGATTGCCCCAAACTTCTCTACACCCAGTTAGGACACCTGTCGTCAAAGAACAGACAAGGCAATACAAGGGCAGAAGTTATGCAAAATAAAATGCGTAATGGGGATGTCTCCCCATGAAAAATACTCTAAGAAGCTCCTACAATCCCCAAGTAACAAGACCAATGCAAAAAATAACAATAATCCCTTGAGATGTAAACAATCCAGACTGAGCCAATCTCGCCCCACCTCAAACCTCACTGGGGTACCCTGGTGAAGGAAAATGTGCCCCCCGCCCCTTGCCCGTAAGAAACTATCCAGCGTTCGGCCAAGGTCCAGAGGCTGCCAGAATTGAGTTTACCCAAAGCTTACCCAGATCCCGAGATCCTGAGATTCGCAGCGCAACTCTTTTCCCCTGGTTTTCACCGAACGCCGGCCGAGAAACAAAATCTGCCCCAAAAAGAGCTCTTGGCCTCCAAGCAGCTTCCCCGAAGAGAGTGCTACTTAGGGAGTCTTAGTTCAGCTTCAAAGGTGGAGGCGCTGGAAAGGAGGCCGGTGTCAGCGCCTTTCCAGACCCGCAGTTTTGCGCTCGGGAGAAAGTACTCGTTGCAAACTTGAGTAAGGTTTTCCCCGTTTGGCCCGAGATGCTGGAGGAGGTGGGGAGTAACCCGAGCCGGTGCCGGGGTGCGAGCAGTTGCCGCTGCTGCAGCTGCTGTCGCCGGGGCAGTGACCGCTGGAGGGGGGCGTCGCTTGGCGCCGCGCACAGTCCCTACTGCAGCCAGCTGGATCCGCCGGCCCAGCTCCTGCGCCCCGAACGCAGGTCGCCCCTGCTCTGAGCTGTTTGCACCGTCGGAGAGTGACCCGCCAATAGTCCGGTCACGAAGTTGGCAAACCTTGGGGGTCACCGCATTGGGTGGCAGAAAGAGTGCCGGTCTGCGTCCGGACCCACGAGCGCCCCCGGGTCAAACCTCGGGAGGTGTTCTAGACCCTCTATAGGAGGATTTGGGGGACTGGGGACAGCAGGAGTGGAAGGCACGCCCCAAGCAGTGCCAGGAAGGGAGTGCAAATGTGCGGCAAAGGGATGGCGACCTAGCGGTACCAGAGCGTGCGAAGTAGCAGCGAAGTGGTCGGGAAGATGAAGCGAGGAGCTGGGGGGATGGGTAGGTCTGATGGAGCCTGCTTTACAGAGGAGGGGCGGAGAGAACTCCCGGGACCCTCCAGAAGTACAAGGCCTCTGGCGGAGATTTCTTGGGGAATGGCTCCCTCTGCCGACTGGCCAACGAGGTCCCGGGAGACCCAATCGTGGAAAGTTAAAACCACGAAAAGTCCCCATCTGTGGATTGGGCAGGAGGTGAATTCTGAAATCTGCTTCCCTGTCTACCGTCTTTTCCTTACTAAAGAATTTTTCTGCTTCTGGACGACCCAAGCAAATGCAAACTTCTAATTGCTAGGAAGTTCGTTCTTATGTTTGGCTGAATCCCGCCCCCCCCACCCCCAAAAAAACACTTGTGTTCCAAACCCACGCCAAATGATCCTCTCCTACCAGGTTTCTTTTCCTTACATTAATATGATATTTTTCTTTATGGAGACCTCAAACGCATATGCGTCTCTAGTAACTTCACCTAGCAAACAGTCCAAGCTGAAAATTATGCTTGAATGGAATGAACATAACGTGTGTTTGAAGTCTCACCATTCTCCTTGGTCAGCTGGAAACAAACAGGGGAAGACCGATTTTTGCTTGTTTACCAGGCATCGTTACCTCTTCTGTTAACAGTACCTACATTTTTCTTTGGGGGACCAACCCTGCCGTACCTACTGAAGCCTGGATGGGGTGGTCGGTTAGGGTCACTCAGCTTTTCCCTGTCCAGGTCTTAAACTAGTCCCCTCAGACCTTCTCTGCCAGGAATCTGAACTTTGATCAGAGTGGCCCAAGAACAGATAAATCTAGAGCTGATTGATCCATATGACAGTGTTCTAGAAATTGACCATTAGCTTATGTGTCACTCAATCCCCAAAGATACCATCTTTACGCTTTATGAAATCTGGTTGCTCTACTTTCCTTTAATTTTTTAAATCAGCTTTGAGGTATAACTTACATTTAATGTATTGTAGTCATATTGAGTGTACAGTTGGGTTAGTTTTGAACAACATATACACCCAGGTAACCACTACCACAATCAAGATAATGAACAATTTCATCACCTCAGAAAGTTCCCCACCTTGTCCCATCTCTGGCCCACTGGGCTGCTTTCTGTAGCTATAGATTCGATTTGTCTTTTCTAAAGTTTCTAGAATGGAATCATTTAGTGTGTATTCTTTTGTATCCAGCTTTCTTCACTTAACATGATGTGTTTGAGATTCACCAGTGTTGTAGTTGCATAAGCAGTTTGTTTCTTCTTATTGAGGAGAATCTTCCCATTGTATGGATAATGAACTTCTTAATTTGCAAATTCACCAAATGTTGATAGACATAGATAGGAGTTGTTTCCAATTTAGGTTCATTATAAATAAAGCTTCTAGGGACATGTTTGTAAAAGTCCTTTTGTGGACAAATGTTGTTATTTCTCTTATTTCGTAAGCATGGGATTACCGGTTTATATAGTACATGTGTGTGTAGCTATATAATAGAGATCAACTGTTTCTTAAAGTGAATACATAACTCAACATTCCCACCAGCAATGTATGAGAGTTGCTTCATATTTTCATCAATACTTAATATTCTGTGCCTTTTAATTTTATCCATTCCACTGGGTATCTCATTATAGTTTTAATTTGCATTTCCCTAATGACTAATGGTGAACATCGAAGACATTTACCACCTTTTTATGTGTTTGCATGCCATTTGTTCTCTGGTGAAGTGCCCAAATTTTCTTGCCCAATTTTCAATAAAGTCATTTGCATTCTTATCGTTTGTTCATAGGAGTTCTTTACATGTTTTGAATACCAGATGTTTGTCAGAAATGTGTACAGGAAATACACCTTTTGGTTTGTCTGCTGCCTATCAGTATTTTAATGTGTTTCAAGCAGCAGAAGTTTTATTTTTAATGAAGTCTAATTTATTAATTTTTTCTTTTATGGTGGTTGTTTTTATATTTTATCCAAGAAACCTTTGGGATAAAATATATCCCAATGAAGTCTAATTTATTAATTTTTTCTTTTATGGTGGTTGTTTTTATATTTTGTCCAAGAAACCTTGGGATAAAATATATCCCAAGGTCATGGAGATTTTCTCTTATGGCTGCAAACAGAATTTTGTAGTTTTAACTGTTGTGTTTAAGTCTGTGATTCATTTGGAGTTAATTTTTGTATCTAGTCTGAGGTAAGAGCAGAAGTTCATTATTTTTCACATATATTTCCAGTTGTTTCAGTACAATTTGTTGATAAAATTATCTTTTCCCTCTTGATAACCTTGCCACTTTTACTGAAAATCTTTTGGCCATGTGAGAATGGGTCTATTCCGGAAGTTGCTGTCTTTTCATTTGACCTGGGCATCCATTTCTACTCTTATGCCTATACCATGCAGTCTGGATTACTCCCTAAGTTTTAATACCTGTCTCTCTGGTGCTGCACTGCACTGTGCTCCAGGGAGTCCCTCCAAATCAGAAATCCAGAGTGATTCTAGGGGTCACCTTATTTGCCTCCTTTGCTCAGGGATCACAATCCTCTTGACCAATGTCTAAAAAGAATTGTTTCACATATTTTGTCCAAGTTTTGGTTGCTTAGGGCAGGAGCATAAGTCTAGTTCAGTTACTCTGTGATGACCACAAGAGGAAGTTGTTTTCCTTTGATTATTTAGAGGCTCCTTTTTGAACAAATTCTTTCACATTTTTGTTATGTTTTGATTTCTATTTATTGAGTTGGATAGACATGGTTTTTGTTGCTCTCATTCCAAAGAACTTTGGACAATGAACATGTAGCACCAAAATGAACACATGAAGCATTTCAGATAAAGCCTGAACAACCTGGATTAGAATGAGACTTTTAATACCTTTTATTCTGAATACTATAAGCATTATTCATATAATGTGAAAGGAAATGGGCTTTTTTGTTTTTGGTAAGTACACTATTCTGTTAACATAGAATTTATAATCTACCAATACTCCAAGTATTTTTCATATTTGCTCTTAGGCCTGACTTTTAAAAATATTATTTATACAATTAGCTGGGATTTTCATAGTAATCTTTTTTCTTTTATAAATAATTATGTTTATTTATAAAAGACCCCCTTCTTCCAAACAGCATCAACAAAAAGTTAGTCAATCATGGCAGTTTTAATATACCATAACTATTTTT